CAATGTAGAAACAAAATAAAGATAACTGAAAAAACTCAGCAAGCACCGAAAACTTTTGTTTTTTCCTAGTAAAAATCTTCACTCCTTTTCATCCCAACAACTAAAATCACGAAATTTTGAGCATGTAAGCTAAACACAATAACCGCTTTTACGGCGATGCTCTGTATACGGTGGGGATACCGAATCCAAAACCCCAAAAGCAAAAAAAAACATAGAATTGTTCAGGAAACAAAATATAAAATATCCAAGCCACATGTTACATCCCTTTTACCGTAACCTTACTTGGTTAAGATTTATGACATACTGCAATATAACTACTTTCAGCTTTCCTTCCTTAAACTCCTTAGAAGACTAGAGTTATATATCATAATAATATAAAAAATCAATTTGCATTGCTAATTATTTCAGACAGTAAATAACAACAATCTCAAGTATAAACTCCTAAGAAAAATTCACACTTGAACAGGTTATGAACATCTTGCAGCCAGAAATTCCTATTATGCATGCAACCAGTAAAAAATTTCTCAACAAAAGAAAGAAACCCACCGAAGATGACATGAGCGTCAAAACTACATCCCCTAAACACAGTATCACAACAATGAGCAATGCACATACAGCTAGCGTCTCGTAGACTCGCTGCATGATACCCTAAAGAGATATGTTATCATTAAAATGGCAAAATTGACGGGAAAAATAGGAAAGAAAAACAAGGTTCTAAAAAAACTTGCATTTTTGGTTTTGCTGAAACCTTGTGATTCTATAAAGAAGTAGCTGAATGGCAGTAAAACAAAAAGGCTGAGATTCGAAAGAGCAAATACATAGTTCCAAAGGCTATTTATTAACGACCATGACATCCACTGCAAAATGAGCAAGTTAAGTTAAAGCGGACAAAGAAATGATTTTTACTCTAACCTGCAAATAGTAGTTGTCAGGATATCGCTGTAAGAGTTCTGAACTAATCACAGAAAAAGGCAATAGCGCAATTGAACCTATTGAGATGGCGAGTGAAGCCGAGCACATCCACACGCTATAATTCAAGGAAATGTCGGATATCTCGTTAGAGAAAGGGTAAGCAATGAACTTACCTAATTCTATATACAAAGTAATCCTCATCACCGGAATACAATGAATCGCTATCTGATTTCGACTTGAACAGCGAAATTATCCAGTACGACAGCAGATAGAGCGATATGAATATGATGAGACAGATCTAAATAATAATTGTTTATTAACTTCGAAATAGTTTTAAAAAGATGGGCTTGAAATGCTACTCTACATAGCTTTGCCTAATACGGGGACACAAAACTTGGGAAAAGAGGGCTATTTTAACAGAAAAGGTGTAAAATTTGTAGATTATACTGTGTTTCCGCAATACAGGTGTGGTTTCCTGGATAAGCAAGAAAATAATTAGGAATGAGTTCTATTGATATGTCCTTAAAAACATTGTTTACTTGTCCTTCTCGA